AAAAAAAAAAAAAAAGTTTGCTAATTTAATGTTTTGCAAGTTAAAGGCTGTAAATTTATGGAGTTTTGGCTGTGGATTGTTCAAGTATGCATCTCTTTAATTTTAAAGGTTGGAGGTTTATGATGGTCTAGCTGTGGATTTGATAATGCATGCCTCATTATATGTATAAAAGCTGCATATCTGTGGGTTTTTTGCTATATGTTTTCTAAGAATTTTGAAAATTTTGTTGTTTGATTGTAAAAAATTCACATGACTGCTAATTTGAGGGGATAAGCAATATATTACATGTGAATTCCATAAAGTTTCTAGCTGAAAGTGTAAATAATTGGCATTTTCTTGGAAAAAATCTGAAGTTCTTTTCAATTTTTATTTTTTATTTGTCTTTTTATAATATATCTCCCTTGACTCTTTTCAGTATGCCTCTATTTTAAGTATAAAAATTGGTGCTTTATGATGTTTCAGCTGTGGATTTGATGGTGCATATCTGAGCCTATGTATAAATGATGCAAACTTGTGGACTCTATTACAAAAAATTAAAAAAATAAAATAAATCTGATTTTTCGAAATTCTAGAAAAAAAATTTGGTTTTCTATATTTGAAAATCTTTCTTGAGTTTTTGCTATTTGCATACAGTTGGTTAGAAATTTAATTCTTTAAAGTCTAATAATTTATTAACACACAACCCATTAGTGAGAGAATATTAGAAATTTAACTGATGGACCTCTCTCTCTCTCTCTTTCTCTGAGCTTGATCAGTGCTTTGTTGGATTCTTATCTATTTGGTAAGAGAAACTGATTTCTGCATTTCTATAGTTAGTAGAAGCTTAACAGTTAGTCTCTTTGCTAATTCTGCTTTATCAGAATGCTGGTTGCTGCTCTCGACCTGTTCACGAATATGAGTGATTTGGCTTTGCTTATCTCCGGTCTCATCTTCATTTTCTTCTTCTTCTTCTTCACAATTTTCTCCTCCTTTTGTTTGTATCCTTCGTGTTTTTCTTTGTTGCCATTTCTTCTTCTTTAGTTTCTCACGTCTTCAGATAATTATGTGCCATATGAAATGGAAAATCATGTCATATGCTCTACCTAGAGTGTTGAGATTCTCTATTCAAGCGTTAATGTTGATAATGCATCAAAATCAACTGTGCAGGAGGTTGGATGCAACCATGCTCAAGGTGTTGGCTTTTCAACTGATGGATTTGCAACTACACTTACCATGAGAAAATTGCATCTCATATGGGTGACTGCTCGTATGCACATTGAGATCTATAAGTACCCTGCCTGGTAGTGCGAATAGTTCTGACATCCTAATGTTGATTTCAAGTTTTAGGATGTCGATGTTCTTATATATATCTCATATATTGATTTGTGAAACAGGAGTGACATGCTTGAAATAGAGACATGGTGCCAAAGCGAAGGAAGGATTGGTACCAGACGTGATTGGATTCTCAAAGATTACGCCACTGGTGAAGTCATTGGAAGGGCTACCAGGTGAATTTTATAAAATACAGTTAACCAACATTTATTTGATCTGTCAAGAATAGAACAAATCAAAGGAAAATAAAATAAGAAACTATTTATATGTACAAGAAATAGATGTGCATCTACGTCTTTCGAAACTTATACTGGACTCTGTGTATTTAGTATGTTGACACTGATTGATAAATGTTTTTCTTCCTTTATGCTTTTAAAATATGTGATATTTGTCTGGATATTCCCCTTATAAACTTGAGAAGAACCTGTTCATCATTTGTATTTTGTATATTCCGAAAACCTCTTGTAGATTGACACTACCGTCCTTATTCTTCTATTGCTATAAAAGGACGATGTACGTTCTTTTTTGTAATTCTACTAAACTAAAACTTTCGGAGCCCACAGCGCTCCAATTCTTCAACTAAATCATTCGGAGTCCACTGATCTCTAAATCATAGATTAGGTCATAAAACACGAATAGTGATAAAAAGGATTTATAGAGTGATAAATAGAATTGAATTTTTTTCTGCAACTAGAATAATCTTTGACAATAAAAGAATAGTAACTGTTTGTGCTAAGTGTCGAATGACCTGCGGGAGAAAAGTTGCTGCCCATAAAAGTAGATGCAGTAGCGAAACCAGAAAAAGAAGTCATCTTCACGTGTGTCAACATATTACCGATTTTCTTCACCTTCCAAACTGTATTCACCAAATATAGCACTTATTTGAGCCCCATTTTTTCCAAAAAAAGGGATTTCGTGATAGTGATTTTCTGGAGATCGTGTGGTAAAAAAAGTAGGAAAATTTTTTGGATTTACTTGCAAATTATTTTATTGGGAGAAAGTGTGGTTGAAAACGAGTTTGAGAAAAAAATGAATTTTTGAGTAATGGGACTCAAACAAGGGCATAATTTGAAGTTCAGAAGAGACGGAGCATTAAAAGCTACTCTAGAAGTAGTATATTGTTAACTTTCCCACGAGATATAACCCCTATTCGACATAATAGCTTCAGACACTTTGAAACTCCAAAGGGAAGAATTAAAAGCTTGCAGGTCTCACGTTAGAATTTTAAGATCTGGAAAAGGTTTTATCTTTGATCGTTTAATTATTAACCATATATAATGTGGACAAAACGGACAAACTCGAGTAAACACTGCTGTTCAATTCCCATGAATTGGAGTGGAGACTTATAGTTTGAGTAGTACATGCATTTTTACTAACAGATGCAGCACCCGTAATCTTGATTTTGCTATTTGAAGATGCACTGATATGATGCATACCATCAGTTATGCTTTCCTCTCTTGAGCCCATCTTTGAGGGCTGTACTTGTTGAATTAATCTTGGAATTCTCGTGTAATTTCTCAATCTTTTCATGTGTACTTCCAAATCAATCACATTTACAACTTCTCATTGCAGCAAGTGGGTGATGATGAACCAAGATACAAGACGGCTTCAGAAAGTTACTGATGATATTCGTGATGAATATCTAATTTATTGTCCCAAGACACTAAGGTTGGTATTTTTTTTACTATTATGCTTCTTCACATGCTATTTGAACAATAATGTTCCATGTTCTAAAGAAATGACGTAATTTTCATAGAAATCACGCTTTCATTTCTTTTTATTTTTTTATTTTCTCTACTTTTTGGAAGATGATGATATGGACCACCTCCGCTGCTTTTTTTTTNCCCTTTTAGATATATTTTTCTTTCCTTTGTTTTGGTTACTTTGACTTTTATAAATGCATGAAGTATCCGTGGCAGGCTCTTGAAACTTGAACCATGGAAGACATATCTGATAACTTGCATTGATCAATAAAAATTTAGAAATAAAAGCACGTTAATGCTGTGTGCTACCTAGCCCACACCTACTTAGAAATGAACCCTGTTGGTCGACTATGGCCGTGATTCCCTTCAGCTTGGACTCTGCTTCGACATCCGAAAGCACCGACCCACTTTCTCCTTTCTGAGAGTTCGTATTTGTTCTATAAATATTTAAACTAAAGTTGAACATCCAATATGAAAAGTGTCAATCAAATTGGAAGTCATTTTAACATAAAACAAGTTCAAAAGAATTAAGTGTATTCTAAATTGATTTCAATTCCTTCATTTTTGCTCATACCATTGGCTTTGTAACACTACTACATGTCTTAAAATAGACCTTCTGCATACTACACCAATCTTAACATGTATTTTACCACTGGCTTGTTGTGGATGCCAGATTAGCATTTCCTGAAGAGAATAATGCTAGCCTGAAGAAAATAGCAAAACTAGAGGACCCGGTGCAGTTCTCTAAAATTGGGCTTGTGGTAAGATCAATGAGTATTTATTATGTATGTCAGAGCTCTAATTTGAAGCACTTATCATGTTTTATTAATTTGCAGCCAAGACGAGCTGATCTGGACATGAATCAGCATGTAAACAATGTCACATACATTGGATGGGTCCTGGAGGTTCGTAAAACTTCATTAGTGCATCTTTAACTGTGTTCTTGCATCTTCTTATCCTCGCTTGAATATGCATAGAAGTATAGCTGTAATATATCTAAATCTAAGAGTGTTAGAAACTGGGAATGAATCAGTTTATTTATTTATTTCTCCATTGTTGATCATTGTTGGAATGATTCAATTTCGAGAACTGATATCCTTAATATATTTGCTGCACGTTGGCTTCTTTGTATCTTGGTGGCTCCTTTTTTCTTCATCCTTTTCCTTGTTGCTATACTAGTTTTTATTTTGGACTTATCAAAAAAAAGTTCTTATTTTGGAATGGATGCTAGTTTGCTTATCAACGATTAATTTGTCTAACAGAGTATGCCTCAAGAGATCATCAACACTCATGAACTGCAGACCATAACTTTAGATTATAGACGTGAATGTCAGCACGATGATGTGGTCGATTCCTTGACAAGTCCTGAGCCGTTAATGGATGACACTATTTTAGAGCTTGAGGGGACTAATGGATCTGCTGCTGCTGGGAAAGATGAAAACGACTGCCTTCAGTTTCTGCATCTCTTGAGATTATCAGATGGCTCTGAAATAAATCGTGGACGCACTGAGTGGAGAAAGAAACCTGCAACGAGATGAGCTTTATAACTAATCTCGAATCTCTATACATCTTTTAGCAGTCTAGTCTTATCATTTGGAGACATTTTTTATTTCTTCTTTATTTGGTGCTCCCAGTGGCTTTTGCTTGAAATTTAAGTATTCATAAGGAAACAAGAGGATTGATTCAGTGACCTTTAATTGTGCATTTAGTTTGTACTGAGTTAAGGAAGTTTATCGTGAGATCTCCATTAAATGTATCTTTCTCCAAGTGTTCTAGTCGCATTACATGCAAATGCTGGTGTCTGAAGTATTTTCTGAAGGACCGATTATTAACAGCAATCGAGCTAGAACTCCTCGTCTTATCCCCTAATTGAGCTACTGGCTCCGGTCTCAACTGTTCCCCCTCGATGTGAGACCATCCAAAAGAGTGAAGAAGGCTCACCCGAGTGGAAAAGCTGGAAATGCAGTGAATGTGGATGAGCTCACTGGAGTTCAAATCTAAGTAACGATTTTAGTTGAACTTGAACATAAGCCATCTCGTTTTAAGCCTAGTCATTAGATGGACATGAATTATTCTGAGAACCACATGCAATGTTGCTGGTGATAAATAGCATTATTCCATGGTTAACGGCAAAACACATTGTAGATGGACATTAAAGCATTCCCAAGCAATCTCAAAAGCAGAAAACATAAGAAATGTTTTATATTTTTACTTGAGAGAGGAGTAACAACAAATGAAATTTGAAAGTATTTTACTATCAGAATTAACTTTAAGGTTGAAAATTTAGATAGTGGAAAATTATCAGGTCACATTACTTTGCAACCATTGGGATTTTTATCACTGATGTAACCATATTGTAGCTGCGAATGATAATAAGGAAGTCCACGGTGGTAATCTGGTGGAGGGAGAGCAAGACTTGGTGGTGGCCCTGGAAGAGCATGGTGGTTTTCTGGTGAAGGGAGAGCAAGCCTTGGTGGCTGCCCTGGAAGACCATGGTAGTTATCTGGAGAAGACCAAGCCGTGGCGGTGGCGGTGGCGCTGGTAACATTTGGTCATACGGTTGATGGCTGGACGGACCATATTTATAATGATTATCATAGTAATAATCATCATGATATCCACCAAAATTAACCCTCCAAGGCCTAGCATTTTCATATTCAATACTTCATAGTCGGTGCATATGTGAGGCCCTGTCAAGTTCTTCCATGTATTGTCCCATGCGTGGTGATTCATATCAATAAGGATAAGCCATTTCTTGATGTGGTGGTGGCGGCAGTGGCGTTGGTGGTTCTTCTGATGCAGCTGGTGGAGGGCCTGAAGAAGGTGGCTCTTCCTCCAGCGGCGGTGCTGGTGGAGGCTCAGGCTTTGGACGAATCATTACGGGAGGCTTTGGACTAATCATAGAGAAATCCATAGTTTGAAAACCCCATTAAAACCCTATAAAAATATTTAGGCTTTTAAATTTATATAAAGTTTGAATAAAACTTGGAAACAAAATCATTGCATAGTTGTAAGAAATTTATTTTTGATTTC